TCTCTGGGCAACCTGGGACACTGGCTCACCACCCTCACACCAAACAATTTCTTCCTCACATCTCAGCTCCATCTCCCCTCTGCCACTTTCAAGCCATCACCCCTTGTTCTCTCACTCCCTGCCCTTAAGCCCAAGTCCATCTCCCCACCAATGAGTTGTCATCATCCACCAAGAGCAACCCCAGAGACATCATTGCTGGTGCCCCTCATTCTCTGTCCTGCACACCAGCAATCCTGGCCATGCCACCAGACCCCCAGGCCATGGTGCATGTGAAGCTGTGAGGAGAGGACACCCAGGGAAACCATGGCAGGAGTGGGTGGCAGAGGGTCTGACCAACCAGTGTCCCATAAAATCTTGTACTCACTTCCCACAGGACCCCGCAGGGCAGGATGGTGTGTGGTACTGGATGGTGTCTCTCTAGAAGTGTTGTCAACTTGCTGTCCATCTGTCCTGGCCATCCTGAGGAATCCTGCCTCTCCTCTGGAGAAACCCACGTCCCCTCCCCATCTCTTGGAGATTTGGAGATACAAGTGGTGCTTGGACCATCACCTTTCAGGTCAGTCTAGCAGGGATGGTTTTTAGGAGGAGAGACAGGAGGATGGACATCATCCCACTGCATCCTGAGAAGCATCTCCTGTAGGTTTTGGAAGCTGTGGTTCCACCTGGGAGAGGACACAACCCATCTGCCCACACATGGCTTCCCTTAGACCAACATGAGCTGGGCTGGGGTGGACCTGGCAGGCAGCTTCTTCCTTCCAAAATCTGTCTGCCTGCTTCTGAGAGGGAGATGATCTGAGCTTGGGGACACGGATGACACCAGTCCCAGGCTGTGCAATGGGCTCTGGTCTCCACACCCAACCCTGACCTTCACAGTGGGGACACCAAACCCCCTCCCTGGTTCCCAGGGCTGGACACCTCCAAAACACACATGTCCAAGCTGAAAGCACAGGATCAGATAAGATCTGCTCAAAGAAAGGTCTTTATTGAGATGTTGGCTTGGAGAGGAGGCACTTGGGGCTGTACAGGTCTTGGGGGGAACGGGGACATGGTCCTTCCCTGAGCTGCTGGTTTCTAGGAGATATTTCCAGGCACCTTGTTACCATCAAGATCAGAGCATGTCCCTGCCTGTGGGACCTGCTGTCACGACAGATGAGGGCACAGCTGGAGGTGCAGCACCTTGGGACCACAGAGGACCAGGAGCTTTGGGATGTCCCAAGAACTGGGAGTCATGGTTGATTTTTTTCCTCCATCCTCTACATTGGCCTTTTCAGTAAAACACCTTTTCCAGGTAGGTGTTGAGGAAGATCCCTGTGGGGTCCAGCTTCTCCCGGATGGAGCAGAATTTGGGAAAGGCTGGGTACATCTTCTCAAAGTCCTTCCTAGTGCAGCTGTGGGCCTGCAGGAGAGAAAATGTCCAGGAGAGTTGTCCATCACTGAGGAATGTATTGCTGACCCTGGACCCCCACCACTATGTGCTGTGGGAAGCCCCTGCAGAAGTGGTGGGACCTCCATCCCCTTATCTACATGCCCAAGTTGGGTGGTAAACATGGGAACACCATCTCCTCAAGGCACCCATCTCCCTCTAGGACCAGCATGATGTGAGGGACATCCTCTGACCCTGTCTTGACTGCAAACCCCCCCTTCCAAAAGGATCCACGATGGAAAAGGGGGAAGGACCCTCCTTCCTAAAGGAGCAGGGACATCATTACCTTTGCCCAGTGTGGTCTCCCACCATACTTCTTCATGATGCCTTCATAGGTCAGCCAGTAGTTGAGGCGAGGGACGTTCTTCCCGTAGGGTCTGGGGGGGGTCAGGCAGGAAGGACATTAGCAGAGGCTGGGGTGGGATTTACATGCCCAGGAAACTCCCCCCAGAAAGGGAGAAGGACAACCTGAGGAGAAGGACAACCTCAGGGACCCATCACAGGCTCTTTGATCAGCACCAGATGATGGAAACCCTTTGGGAACCAGCATGCCACCAGCACTTGGTCAGTAGACCCTCATGTAGGACAACATCCTCAAGAAACTGGGGTGGGTGGCTCTAGGGTGCTCCAAGTCCACTCCATCCCTTCTGACTTGGCACCTGCCAATATCTGAGTGGGGTGAGCAGGCAAAGATGCAGGAGCTTGTCTGATCCAGATCTCCAGAGCCAGTGAAGAGCTGGTGCTGGTGTGTTGGAGGTCCACATTTCATAGAATCACAGAATTGTTTGGTTGGAAAAGACCTTTGAGATCATTGAGTCCAACCATACCTGTCCACTACTGAACCAGGTCTCTGAGCACCTCATCTGCCCATCTTGTAAACACCTCCAGGGATGGGGACTCCACCACTTCCCTAGGTCACCTCTTTGCTGCTGCTGGATCTCTGGTCATAGCTCCTGGTGCACCAACACCCTGACCTGGAGAGGTGGAAGAGGAGGAGATGGAGGTGGAATGGGGACACGACTCACCTGTACATGATGATGTTCATGTAGCAGCTGTCTCGCTGGAAGCAAGGACTCAACCAGATCTCATCCCCACGAGCAAAGCGCACCTCCACAGGGTAATGAGCCACCATCTTGGGGTTGTTCTCCAAAGCAGCTTTCAGCTCCAACAAGGCTTCCTTTGTCTTCTCACTGCCCAGGAGAAGCCCCCAGCCCTGGTTAATATCAGCATGGGCACAACCAGCTCTCTTTGGGGTTTGAACCTCCATCCCCACAGCTCCATCCTTGGTCCCACACTAATTCAGGGAATGGTTTGGCACGTCCCAGAACATCCCTCCCATTGCTTTGGGGTTCACAAAGCCCCAAGATATGGTGTGGTGTGGATTGGGTACCCCAGGACAGAGATGTAGAAGGGTCTCCATGCTAAGGAGGAGGTAGGAATGGTGCCTCCTAGCTAAGTCCCTTTCTCCATGGCTTTGCTCCTGCTCCAGGCAGGGGATGGTATGTGGTTTGGGATGGACAGGGAGGGTCTGTAGAGACATTTACATGGGGATGGCCCAATCTTGAACATGCTGCTTGAAGCGACACTCGTAATTGAAGATCTTGTAGCTGATGGCGATGTTCTCCACCCGGGAACTGAAGAGGAGCCAGAAGAAGAAGCGGTTGATCCAGCACACCAAGCTGGGCACAAAAGTGCTGTAGGGGAGAGAGAAGGAGGTGAGATCTGAACCCAAAGCTGCTGCCCAGGGATTTGCCAAGGGTAGGGTGTGAGCTTTGATGCCACAAGCCATGATCTGAGGATGGTGGGAAAGGAGATGTTCCTCAAGGGGTTGCAAAGCTGCAGCCCCCTCCCAGGGTGCTGGAGCCCATGAGGTCCTGCAGCTTTGTCAAGAGCTTGCTTGTGCTCATCCCACCTGATCTTGGACCTTGCACCCTTGTCCTCAGCTCCTCTTCTTGTTGCAGGTTAGAAAAGGGGTGCTTGGTCACCACCTTCCCTTCTCCTTGAGACCTCAGTGCCTCCCAGGCATCCTGGCACTGGGGGACCAAGAGCTACTGGGGACAGGGTGGAGTGGCAGGGTGGACCCCTTGGCACAGTCCAAAGTGACTGTGGCCCCTCTTTTCCCTCTTCATGGAGTTCAGCTTGGCTTCCTTGTTCCACCAAGGTCCTGCTTCTCAGCCCAAGCTCCATGACCTGGCTGGATCTCCTTTCTCCACCCTGGTGCTCAGGACATGTTCACAGTCAACACTGTCCTCCAAAAAGCTCTTTTGCTGCTGCAAATCCACAACAGTCTCAGTGTGCTGCTCCATCTCTATGCACACGAGAGGGCAGTGCAGCTCCAGACATCCATCCCAGCCCAAACCCGCTCCTCCTGCACAGGAGCTTGCTTGGAGAAGACCAAGCATCTCCTTCTTCCCTAGGGATGAGCCTCAGAATCCCCTCTTGCCATCTTCCCTGAGATTCCCACCACAGCAGCATGGGTTTCAATGTAGAGATGTAGAAAACAGAGCTGGATGAGGCCAGCCCTGGAGAAACCTCCTCGACCTCATTTGTCCCCAACTGCTGCCCAGAGCACGTTCCTACCTGATCCAGAGCAGAAACTCCAGCAAGTAGTAGCCAACAGCATAGTCCCACAACCAGTTGGCAGAGGAAGAGGGGGGCTGCAAAGCCAAGCAGAGGAAGATGATGGTCATTAGGGACTAGCAAGGTTTGCAGCTTTCTTGCTAGCAGGTATGAAGGTCCTGGACCAGGACCAAGCTGGGAGCAGGAGTTTGGATAAGGAGACCCCAGAACTCCTCAAATGTCTCTCCCCTGATGAAACAGGGTCACATCCAGCTCCAGAAAGAAACCAGGCTTTGTCATGAGGATGCTGAGAGCTTGGACAGCCTCAGCTGCATCTGTGTCCTGGGATCCCCAGACCATGGAGCACGTGCAGAATCCAACCCAACCCCAAAATGGTGTTTCCCAACCACCCCAGCAGCCCTTGCAGTGCCAGCCCATCCTAAAACACCAGCTCTGGAAGAGCATCCAGCTTTGTGCACATGTCCTTCTCCCTTCCTACATGGAACCTGGTGGGACTTGCCTTGTTGGTAGGATCCTGGTAGATGACACTGACGTTCTCACTGTGAGGGAACCACAGGAATCGGAAGTATTGGGATCTCTTCAGGTGGTCATCAAGGTGATCAAGGACCTGCAACAAGCAGAGAAATGGGGGTAGATTGGTGATTGTCCCCACCTGTGGAGCAGGGATCCTGGGAGCAGGGTTTGGAGGCACCTCAGTGGACTCCCAGGAATGCTGGGGAAGGTCCAAGGAGTCTGTCTGCAGAGCCTTGGTGAGCCTTGGGTTGGAGGGAGGTCAATACAGCCCAGTCAAGTACCATGGGGCTAACAGAGACCATGGACCTGACATCTGGGGAAGGGAACTGAGTATGTCCATCATCTCCATGGCAGAGCCCCCTGTATGAGGAGCAGCTGAGGGAACTGGGGGTGTTGAGCCTGGAGCAAAGGAGGCTGAGGGGAGACCTTGTGGCTCTGTGCAAGTCCCTTGGAGGAGAGTGGAGAGAGGTGGGGGTGGGTCTGTTCAACCAAGGCCCAAGGGACAGGACAAGAGGAAATGGGCTGAAGTTGTGGCCAGGGCAGTTGAGATGGGATGTGAGGAAGAATTTCTTTGCTGAAAGGGTTCTGAGGCATTGGAAGGGGTTGGCCAGGGCAGTGGTGGAGTCCCCATCCCTGGAGGGATTGAAGAGTCGTGTAGACACAGTGCTGAGGGACATGGGTTAGTCACAGGGGACTCGTCAGTGTTGGGTTCATGGTTGGACTCCAGGAGCTTCAAGGGCTTTTCCAACCACTGTGATTCTGTGACTCTGTCCTGCATCTGCCACACGTCCAAGCTCAGATCCCACATCCTGCCACAATCACACCTCTGCAGCCCCCAAACTGCTCCATCAGGCATTACCAGACATGGGGCAGCACAGGCAGGGTTGGAGGGTCCTCTTCCAACCATCAGCCATACAGCACAGCATGCTGAGGGCTTCCAAAATCCAGCATCAGGGATCTCCTCCTCAGCTTTCACAGCCTGGCAGCACAGGTTTTGTCAGCTCCAGAGCCCCCAAGGCAATGGGGTATGGATCTGAGATGCCTTCTACAGCTCCATCCCACAGACCTCACCCGCTTCAAACGCACAATTGCCAAATTATTCATAAAGACATAAAAAAGAGCTTTAGGAAAGGCAGCTCCCTCAAACGAGCTGCTCTCCAGAGATCTCCCATAGCTTTGTAGAAAGACCTAAAAACCCTACAGCTTTGCTTCAAGTTTGCTTGACTCAGAAGAAGGTGCAATGACCCATGGACATAACCCTTAGAAGGTCATGTCCACCTTCAGCTGTGGAGCTGCTTCCTTTCCAGCTGGGTCATTTGAATTAATTGTCTTAATGATTAATTAATCACCAGGATGGACTTCTTTAGCACCGAGCATCTTGCTGTGACCCTACCATAAGGTGAGGGTCTTTGTGGGGTCACACTGGTCCCATCAAAGCAGAGAGGATGGGACAACAAACAGATTATTCCTATAATTGAATTAATATTAATGCTGTTGTTTTCATCTTCAAAAAGCCACAAAATCACTCCAAAATGTTCCTAAAACAACCCAATTTCTGGCTGGAGAAGTTCTCATGTTAGAAATGGTTGATGATTGTGCAAGTAGAATCATAGAATCCCAGACTGGTTTG